AGAACTGAGATGGAGGAACCACTAAATTCAGATAGTCTCTACGAGCCAGAGTTGTACGTCCTGTTCATGGGCAAGATCAAGTCAAGACTGGGCATAGGTCCAAGGACAGGGCGTGACAACTTTGGCTGACTTGATCTGATTGGGCAGGAATACAGTCACTACCCACGGGTGGATCCTCCATCTCCAGTGCTGGAGAAAAGTAACTGGTCCAAGGTCACCCAGCTGCTTTTGTGCCTAAGGCAGGACTAGAACTCACTGTCTCCTGGTTTCTAGCCAGATGCCTTAACTACTATAGCAAACTGGCTGTCATCTTCATATTTAATATGCATCTTTTAAAAATATAAATTATAGTCAACAGAAGGCCACCAATGGGACATTACTCTCAAAACCAATACTAAAACATAGAAGAATATCTCAGGAACATACTTTCTGTTTCAATTTTATAACCTACTTGTTAAATGCACAAAGTTATGCAAAGTCCTTTTTGTTTTACTTAGGATTACTTAGGATAGCAGATTCTCTCTTCTTTTTTTTTTTTGGTCAGAAGAATTTGAGGCACATTTTGCACATAACAATAGGAAGAGGAGGGATAGAATAAATGCCTCACTTATTTTATACATCTCTGCCTCATTAGTTTATAAAATAATTTTAAATACCTGCATTTTTTAAAATTCCATTTTTGTTTGTATCACATTTTTCAGATATCTGATGTATAGTAATTAATCATGAATCATCTATTTTAATTTGAAAAAAAGAATTTTACATTCTTCTTTAAGAAAATGTTGTACAACATTTGTATAAGATGAAAATTAAAAACTCAATAAATAGGATCAAAGTTAGTTAAAAGAAATTTACTTGCTTTAAAAAAATTATTTAAATTTCTTTATCACTGTTATATTTAAAAGAAATTGTTGTAACTTAGTGGCATCTTATTAAAAAGGTGTTTGTATGTATACAGGAGTAATGTAATTTTTTAACAAACAATCATTTTTTAAGAGTATATTTGAGAAGGAGCCTGAGCAGGAACTCCACAACTAGATGCTACTACTCAAAAGCCCCTTTCTTGAATCATTACTATTTTCTAAAAACAATGTCAACTGATCAAAAATATTTTGAATCAACAACCACAAACCATAACTAATTAAAATGATACAACAGACTCAAATGTTTAAAAAAATCATTTTTTCCTGTACAATTTACAAAGGGTAAATGTAACTCTAAATAAACCCATTTTTAATATAACTGAGGTACATCTGTTCTTTATTCAAATCTGTTAGTCTTCTTGGCACACCAACCCAGGGCAAAATCCCCGCTGGCTAATATTGCCAACTGGATATTGAGTCGCAACATCAAGCCCAAGAACTCTCTCGAATCCCTTCCAAAACAGGCTAAACCACTACTCCTAAAAAAACTATAGCACCAATTTTAGTCACACAATAATTCAAATCAAACTGTGCTTCTCCTTAGAAAGTAATATGCAAGCTTCCTTTGAAAAACACAGCTAATCAAAATGAGCAAGATATACTGCAAATACATCTAAGAATCACTAGGGAGAGGAGGGACAAGCCAATGGTACTATCTACTTCCCCACATATTATCATGTCCAAATGGCTCTTATTAGNTTCCAGATTAAAGTAATCTTTACCGATGAAAATGGAGAAGGGGAAGAAATAAATAAAATCAACTTATTACAAAGAAAAAAAATATTTTTTCTAATCATATACAAGAACTGAAAAGACAAACAAAGCCTCCTTCTAGTTGAGCAACTAAAAAGTTCAAGTACAAAAAAATGATAAGGCTTAGGTTCATTGGTAAATTTGACTAATATTGACTGTAGTATATATAAAAGAACAGTAACTTCTACAACCTGTATTTATTCTTCACTCTTCAAATTACTGAAAGGTTCAGCCATGACTATCCACAGGAAATATAAGGCTACGACACAAATACTGTGTCCTAAGAATTTGGGCCACAAATTGGGATGCAAGTACAAGAGAATCAGATTTATCACACAATACAGCTAGTCCTTGACTTATAACTTTTGGTTTAGCAACCTTTCAAAGTTATGACCGTGCTGAAATAAATCCAGTCCTCACACTAACGATCATCGCACCAACCCGATGTTCATGTGCTCACTGTTCAGGCATTGGCAACTGGTTCGCATTTATGACCAACTGCAATGTCCTGTGGTCATGTGATCATGATTTGTAAGCTTCATTGTTGGCTTCCAGCAAAAACCACCCATTTGGAAGACTGTGGTGTTTACTTAACAACCATCATAAAAATGGTCATAAAATCGGATTTCACTTGACTTATGACAGCAACAACTTACAACAGAAATTCACGTCCCAATTGGGGTCATCAGTCAAGGATCACCTGTATTGCCGTGTGTCATTATTTTTGCATCAATATAACTTGTTGTGGACACCTCCGCATCCAGCTTAATTAACTGCAACTGCTCCCAAGAGAAAAATTATTAATATATTCACTTTCAAGTTAATTTCCATCTAGCAAACATTTATACGTAGAGGTCATTAAAAGTTAGTTTATATGAAGGCTGCTGAAACATCTCTCCCATATTAGTGCTCCACATGACTGATATAATACTTAATAAAATGTTTGCAGAGTAAAAAGACATATGAACAAAGCCCCACTAAGTATATTTCAATGGTCACTGCCATTCCAATGTTTACTCTATACATGCCATGAATAGATATTGGAAAAACATCCTAAGCATTACCATTCGGGATTCTTATTTTCTCATTGTCCTGTTTCACAAAACATATTTGAGGAAGAAGATATATTTTGTGACTACTTGGCAATCAGTTATGAAAGCATTAACTGGCAACAAAAACAATTACCTTTCAGACTAGGAAATGGAGTGGTTTTGTCTCTCACAGCTTTGGTTGGAAGTGCTAAATTGGAGAGACTAAAGCTTGTGCTGTGGTTTTTGTACAGGCTACCTGTAATAAAAAGAAAATATATCGAGTGATCTAATCATTCCCTTATTTCATTAGGCTATTTCCTTCAGCTATTTATATGTGCGCTCATCTCTGTCTTTCTCAGATTAGGAAGTAACTTAATATGCATCTTCGCAATTTTTTCTTTCCGTTCAATCATGTCTGATTCTTGAAGTTTTCTTGGCAAGGTTTTTAAGAAGTGGTTTCCCTAAGACTGGGAAAAAGTGACTGGTCCAAGGTCACCCGGCTGTTTTTGTGCCTAAGGCAGGACTAGAACTCACTGTCTCCTGGTTTCTAGCCAGAGGCCTTAACTACTATAGCAAACTGGCTGTCATCTTCATATTTAATATGCATCTTTTAAAAATATAAATTATAATCAACAGAAGGCCACCAATGGGACATTACTCTCAAAACCAATATTAAAACATAGAAGAATATCTCAGGAACATACTTTCTATTTCAATTTTATAACCTACTTGTTAAATGCACAGTTATGCAAAGTCCTTTTTGTTTTACTTAGGATTACTTAGGATAGCAGATTCTCTCTTCTTCTTTTTTTTTTGGTCAGAAGAATTTGAGGCACATTTTGCACATAACAATAGGAAGAGGAGGGATAGAATAAATGCCTCACTTATTTTATCTCCTATACATCTCTGCCTCATTAGTTTATAAAATAATTTTAAATACCTGCATTTTTTAAAATTCCATTTTTGTTTGCATCACATTTTTCAGATATCTGATGTATAGTAATTAATCACGAATCATCTATTTTAATTTGACAAAAAGAATTTTACATTCTTCTTTTAAAAAATGTTGTACACATCATTTGTATAAGATGAAAATTAAGAACTCAATAAACAGGATCAAAGTTAGTTAAAAGAAATTTACTTGCTTTAAAAAATATTTAAAATTCTATATCACTGTTATATTTAAAAGAAATTGTTGTAACTTAGTGGCATTTTATTAAAAAGGTATTTATATGTATACAGAAGTAATGTAATTTTTTAACAAACAATCATTTTTAAGAGTATATTTGAGAGGGAGCCTGAGCAGGAACTCCACAACTAGATGCTACTATTCAAAAGCCCCTTTCTTGAATCATTACTATTTTCTAAAAATAATGTCAACTGATCAAAAATATTTTGAATCAACAACCACAAACCATAACTAAAAAAAATCAATTTTTCCTGTACAATTTACAAAGGGTAAATGTAACTATAAGTAAACCCAACTTTAATATAACTGAGATACATCTGTTCTTTATTCAAATCTGTTAGTCTTCTTGGCACACCAACCCAGGGCAAAAACCCCGCTGGCTAATATTGCCAACTGGATATTGAGTCACAGCATCAAGCCCAAGAACTCTCTCGAATCCCTTCCAAAACAGGCTAAACCACTACTCCTAAAAAAACTATAGCACCGATTTTAGTCACACAATAATTCAAATCAAACTGTGCTTCTCCTTAGAAAGTAATATGCAAGCTTCCTTTGAAAAACACAGCTAATCAAAATGAGCAAGATATACTGCAAATACATCTAAGAATCACTAGGGAGAGGAGGGACAAGCCAATGGTACTATCTACTTCCCCACATATTATCATGTCCAAATGGCTCTTATTAG